GTGTTTTTAGAGTATCTATGAATGAAATGTTTTGTTTATCTGTGCTAAATAGTCTGAATTCTTTCTGAATATGTTGTATTATGAATGAAATTCCCGCTGTCAGCACGCAGAAATATTTACCTGCGAGACTCTCGCACGAGACACAAGAAGTCTTGCACGAGACTCGAGACGAGACCAATAAAAGTCTCGTCTCGTCTTGTCCGAGTCTCGTCTCGAGTCTTGTCTCGAAAACGAGACGAGACCATGCGAGACTCTCGAAAACGAGACTCTCGCGGGCACCACTATTCATGAGGTTTGATTGAATGATGACTGGAGACATTCAATTCTGATGATGCTATCTATTCATAACAAAAATATTCACTATAAGGTGAGCTTTGTGAACAGTTGTTCGATTAGGTGAGGGTTCAGAAAAATATTGAGGAATTTAAACTACAATATCAGGTATGAGAATCTCCATGGATAGAAAATTGAATATCAATTTATCATTTCATGCTTATATTTGTTGTTATCAGATATATAGACAAATTGTACTTGCAAAATCAATAAAACTATGCCAGCTTCAGAATCATTAAATGTTCTATAGCAACATTTCTTTATAGGTTCGCGGGATGGCATCACAATGAATATAAAACGGCTTGGATATGGGATCTTGACTTCGGAGGATGACGGTTACCTCGGACACTGGAAATAAAAGAGGAAGATATATATTATTTGGTACCCCACAATATAGGCTCATCATCAGCTAATTCAATGGAAAAGGAAATTGTTTATTATGATGACTGTCTATGGAATAAAATCATTATATATCACTTGAATAAATGCTTCCTATACATATCATCTATCTATCTATGAATCCATATATTTCAACCATTTTCAAAACTTTGTGGATACAGAAATAGTTATATGCATTTCAAAAGTTGAGTTTGCCATCTTATCTTTTTAGATCTACATGGGGAAGCTATAGTCAGTGGGCTAGTATCAGTGTATCAGTGACAACATTTTACCCTATTTCACATACCATCTCATACTTCTATCAAGAAAGCTTTACAAGATTTCATTGATAGATAGGCATACATACATAAACTTAGACCGAATAATCAATTTAGATTTTTTGTGACAAAATCATCACAGCAGTGAAAAATATTTTTGAATATCTAGTAGAAGTAGATAGTATCATCATCCTGTGATGATTGCCAGGAAGCAATAACACAAAATACCTCAAATTGTAGTTGTGGCACTCAAAAAACTCCAGATGTTGGCCTAGACTGATAATTCTCAGGGATTCAAAGACAATACCTTGAATTCCATTCCTCTTTCATTCTTGGTGTTGCTCTTTGGGATGCATATCCTGTAGATATATGGTAATCTGAGTTTGAATACGTTGAATTGATGGCTTGAACCATCAGGCTCACATGAAACAGTTTTCAACTATCAATACTTCTTCTACCCTACCTAGCTACGCAACAACAATGCAGACTAAATATACCTTGAAAATTATGGTGAGTGATCCTTTCTGAATGTATGTCCCCATCCTGATAAGTCGCCATATGTAGTGCTATTGATCATCACTCTATAGTGTCTTCCAAAATCATTGACACAAACTTCAACACCAGAATTAAAACCAGTGTTTTAATGGTGGAATCTAGGCTGAAATTGAAAATCATCAGGAAAGGTTTTAATGAAAGATCATATTTTGTTGAAAAGGAATATTCTCAGATAAATTATGAACATACAAAAATGGTTATATATTTATATAAAGCAATACATTGAGAATTCGCATTCCCTATGTGATGAGAATATTTACTCTTTCTCAGTTGATTCAATAGAAAACAACTACTTTCCTGGCTATATGCCACGACGAACATTGAATTATATCTATTGAACACACACGATAAGAGTTGGAAAATAAAATATAAAAACTTTTGAAATTGAGAATTTGCATTCTCCTTCAGACAAAAATATGTATATGCACACATCATTCTGAATATTCAACAGAAAACAACTACTTTCCTGGCATATGTTTTCTATTGAATCAACTGAGAAAGAGTAAATATTCTCATCACATAGAGAATGCGAATTCTCAATGTATTGCTTTATATAAATATATATCCATTTTTGTATGTTCATAATTTATCTGAGAATATTCCTTTTCAACACTTTCATACCCAATCAGGGGGTTCAAACTTGAACGATGGAAACTTGTGATTTTTATAGACCTCTAATCGCAGATTCGTGATAGAGTCTCAATTCAGAATTTCTTTCCAAGCCCTGTATGATGAATGTCAATTTATCATACACCCAAAAGCAAAAATCATATTCTTACCAATGCCTTCCAAAAAAAATTTCGACCATTCTTGCTGTGGAGTTTATTACTGGGTATGAGATTCGAAAAAAAAAACCCGATATTTGATACGATTATTCATACATTTCATTTCATACGCTAGAAGGCAGTATAAATACATGATGAAGACACAACTAGCAAACCTGAATAAATAAACTACCAGAACTAAACACAAAGGAGAATGCTTGATTGAATGCAAATCGGAAAAAGGAATTTAATCGATATTTAAGAACTCATCAGGGACAGTGACACAGTTTTGACACTTGAAAATAATAATAATTCAATATATCCTATGTTATTGGAAAAGAACCGTATAAGAGCTCAAAATAATAGAAAACAAATCTCTTCTTCTCAAAGGACGGAAAGTAAACCCCTCTGGTGGAGAATACACTGAACTGAGTGATTGGACAGTCATGTAGTACTCGTCCGACAGTCCAGATATTTAGCCGTCATCGGACAGGGAAGAAAAAGGTGCATCCTCTTTCATAGATGTCAAAATGACGTCATTGTCATATGGTGTTTTATATGGAGAAATTGAATTATCGGGGGTAATACCACAAGAGCTCAGATTTAGCCGGATATTTTTTGTGGTTGTTTTCGAATACTTACTTTCATTGGCAATTTAACAAGAGCTGTTCTGCCAAAATCACGAGAGCGTAGCTCGGGTGATTTTGTCCGAATAGATCGAGTTAAATTACCTATATGAAAGTAAGTATGAGAAAACCACCGTAAAAAATATCCTGCTAGATCTGAGCTCGCGTGGTATTTGGGAAGACAATTCCATGAATAGAAAACTCAATTCAATTAAACTTTATTTAACCAACTAAAAGAACAACAAGTAAAAGAATAATGTTTAGAAAGAACAGTTGTTAAAAACACAATTATTATATACAATTGGTTCAGTAGACATTTGCTCCTTTACTGATATAGATTTTGTGTTTGACATTGACATGGATGTGGACACTATGACTGATTCATTATCCAAAGCTTTATTTCGAAGATTTGTTACAAGATGCGAATGATGCTCATTATCAAGTTGTAAATAAGGCTTTATGGACTTGGAAGAGGAATGTCCAGTTATTTTTATCAATTCTTGTCAATTTTTTTATTCTTTGTATCCAGTCCAATTTTTTCAGCTGAAATTTTCGTCCACTTGAGAATTTCGTTGACTCCTATAGGAACATTTTTGTACCAACTTTTCGGTGAATTACTTTTCCAAAACGGATTGGGGGTTATAAATAATCTATCAGTTGTAATATGGTTCGGTCTATGTGATAATATTTTATAAAACAATGTTACTGGGCATATGCTTGGGTTTTCTATGTTTTTTATTAGCCATTTACTGTCGCAGCATTTGTTTGAGCCGCCCTGACATGTTTTGGAAAAAACTGTATTATATTCAATGGGGCCAGTAAAATCACCATTATTTGATTTTTCTTCTTTAAAATAGTGTACTACACATTTTGCAGCTTCACCTCCTCGCCAAGCTAATTCATATGCAGCGATATGAAAAAATCTTTTTAAAAGACCTATAGGACTATTTTCATCCCATATCAATGCCATTTTAACAATTTCACTTTTAGTCAAGGCTGTTGAACTATTTTTACGTTTTTCTAAATTACCTTGTAAGTTCTTTCGCTTAGAATTACGTGCATCACGGGATTTCTTGAATGCCAAATCAGTGGAAGGATTGAAAATAACATTAAATTTTTCGAAATACATGCTTTGCAACATCTTCGCTGTTGTGTTCCACATTGTTTTCACCACGTATTCTTTATAATCTTCCCCATTCTGTTTCTTCATATTAAAGCCCCAGTCCATCAATATTCCTGCCACATTTTCCACTGACTGTTCGGTTTCCAAATTGAAGTTTCGTTGTTTACAAAATTCGCTGAATTGATTCCAAATGGAGGATTGACTTTTTTTTGTATTTTCTGGAGTTGATTTTTCAATCTCCCTCACTATTTCTGCCTCGCAAATGTTTCCAAATCTCGACATACTCACTGGAATATTATTTGCTGATTAATTCTGTTTTTGACATTTACAATTGTCAAACTGATGCGACGCGCAATAACGCTTGATGAACGAACAGTAAATACTAGCGTTGCTGCGGTAACGTAATTTATCCGATTTTTTTATCCACTTGCATTTCTGTTCCTTCATATTTAGCCGATAGCAAACTACGATTTTTGTACTCGCAAATGGAAATTATTATACATGAGTGGAATTATCGATACAAACATTATCTCTCATGTACTTACCCCCGATGAGTAACCAATAACAATAAATACCTCCCATGGTGATTACGTGTTTCTTGTAGTTCGAATACATTTTTTTCTCGTTTTTTATCTACTATATCATACTTCACTTGACAAAAAATATAAAGAATGTTCTTGGGGACATGAATTTTCACAGTGATAAAAAAGGTCCATCAATTTTTATCGATGGCAAAATGATTCACCTCATCGTGAAATGGCGTTTTCGGTCAAATAGAGACCTACGGCCTCGCAATTTTTTCCTGTCACTTTTTCCCAATGGATCATTGATCACAAATTCATTTGTTAGCAAGCGATATTTATTCGATAAAAAACAAGCTATTGTGTTCCTACTGTTGAAAACATCAGAGACTACAACAAATTTCAATGTTCTTTACTTTCAGAATATACATCGCTGGTGCTCAACCAGAGTTTGGTAAATTGTACCCTTCTGTTGAATTTCCTGTTGGTAGAGGAACTCAAATGATCAACTCCATGATCGAGTGGGATCATTCAATTGAATGGAGTGTGGCTGATTTTTCAGCAGAAAGGAATCGTTTTAAAGAACTCGTTATTGAAGTAGACTTGAGTAACGAATTGACTAAATACTTATCTGGTAATGTCGTTGATGGAAAAATTGTTTTTCCAGTTTCAGGATATTTGGTGAGTTCAAGATCAATCCAAATACTTCACGAAATATAAAAGGAGAATGTTTTTTCATTCAGGTTATAGTATGGAAATCATTTGCCAAATTGAAAAACATGGATTTCCAGAAATTACCAGTTGTATTCACAGATGTTCATTTCCACAGAACCATAATTATATCTGATAAAAATTCCGTGAGATTTCTCATCAATATTCTTGAAGGAACTGGAGGATTCGAAGTTTGTGAAAATGGGTCAGTCGTTGCATCTGGTAAAATTTCTGTACCAGAAGATGCGTCTACGGAATCTATGGTTCTACCTGAACTAAATAATACATCAGAAGAAGAAAAAGTGCTGCGTTTAACTTCTAATGATATCTACAAAGAATTGAGATTACGTGGATATGACTATAGGGGTATTTTCAAAGGTATAATTGAATCGGATGGTTTAGGATTGAGAGGAACACTTGCATGGAAGAATAACTGGACCACCTTCATCGATACCATGTTGCAATTCTCCAGTCTTAGAAAAAATTCTAGGGACTTATACGTCATCACTCGGCTACAGAGACTTTCAATAAATCCTAATAAACATTTGGAATTCATTCAGAAACTTCGTGATGGGGAAAGTAAGATAACGCATAAATTTTCCCTTTGACAAAACAAGCTTAATCATTTTTGTTTCCAGATATTCCAATAGATATGTTTCAGAACATGGGCGTTGTGAAGTCAGTGGGTATTGAAATATACGGAATTATATCGAATCAAGCACCATGTCGTCGCCAAGACCGACCACCACCAAAACTAGAGACGTATCAGTTCGTGCCATATGACAACACTCCCACTCCCATTATTGACCCTGAGGAAGCTAAGCAACAAGCACTCCTTGTACTTCTACAAATTGTTATAGAAAACAGTCCCAATGCACTCACATTGAATGTTACTGAATTATTTACAGACAAACCGATAGAAGCGGTCTTAGCTCCAATAATCAAAGGCTTAATCGAAAATGAGCCAATGATGTCAACAGAAGTAACCGTAGTAACAACAGAGTCGGTTGATGCATCGATTCTAGATGTAAATAATATCAAACATGAAAAACGAGATATAAATAAATATTCAATCGCCGACGATGCACATCTGATTGTTACAAGTGATATTTTTGATAATAATAATTATGAAATTATTCTGAAAAATGCTATTGCCTCTATCAGAATTGGAGGTTTTATATTAGTAGAAGAAATCAGGGGTCCTATTGATATCAAAAAGTTAGGTGGTTTGGAGATCATCAGCAAACAATTGACCAAAGAAAAAATGTATATACTCCTACGAAGGCCTATTTCACTACCAACAGATAGTGGAGTCATCCAGATTACTGATTCAAACTTCACATGGATTGAACCACTTAAGGTGAGAAATATAATCGAATGAATCCAATGATTCTTGGTACCATTATGGCTCATACATTTCGTCATCAACAAATAACTGTTTTTGTAGGAACTAATGTTGCAAGCAGAAAACGACAATCGTAAGGTTTATATTTATGTCGATGGAGAAGAAATCTCTGGTATTATTGGAATGGTCAATTGTTTGAGACTTGAACCTGGAGGTTCTAATCTGAGATGCGTATTCATAAGAGATACGAATGCACCCAAATTCAGCATTTCCAGATATGAAAGTCACCTAAAAAAGGACCTAGTTCATAATGTACTGAGGAACAATACTTGGGGATCCTTTCGGCATCTACCTGTGAAGGACATCAAAAATAGTGAAAAGTTCCAAGTTGAACATGTTTATATTGATACATTGATCAAAGGTGACCTTGCAAGTTTGAAATGGATTGAGGGACCTCTCGGAAATCAAAAGTGAGTATCTTATTCAGCTTTCGATATATGGTCATTTATTATTTCGAATGAGGAAGAGTGTTTTATCACCAAATAAAGATGAATATTTCTTTCATCTATGACACGTGATATTACTGCATACTGTTGTATGTGCAAGACATTATTCGTTTAGCCTTGTTATCACCATCAGTAGGCCTAGGTTGGGAGAAGAAATGAATCAACCAGAGTTGCCCAAATATTCGTAAACTGTTATCCATATCGAAAACGTCAGATGAAACATAACAAATGAATGATGAAAACTCCTTAGCATTATTGCATTGAATTTTGTAATACTTAGAGATGATTCAAAAAGTGAATTCAGCCCATAATCCGGTACTTTCTAGATTGTACTCAGTTATTTTATCGAAAGTTCACAAGAGATAAAACAAATGATTGGTCACCCCGACAAAAAGCAGTTGTGAAATCACTGGTAGGTATAGCATTATTTGCTAATTTCTATTCATTTCATTTCACTATTTATGTTTGAAGAGAGCTATCTGAAATCTTGCATTCTTTTGATGCTCTCAAGTCATACTATCCTCATTATATAAGGTGGGCCAAAATAAGTCATCCGATGTTATTTGGCTCTCATTTTTTTTCTAAATGGAAATCTTCGATTCTGTTTTTTTGATTATGTTTATTTGGACCTTCAGAATTTTATTGGTCAAGTCGAGAAGATGATATCGGCCAAATGGACGCCGCCACAATTGATTACTCTACGGGCTAGTTTTATGGCATTTCTCATCACTTCGGCAAGATCTTCGGGCGACAGATTCTGAAACTCGTGTCGAATGTTGTCCTTGAGGGCATCCAGGGTCTCAGGCTTGTTCACGTAAACACGAGACTTCACAAAAAACCCCACAAAAAAGTCTGAAACGGTTAAATCGGGCGATCTTGCGGGCCAGAGCAAATCGCCGCCTTCAGAATATCGGTTGTGGCTCGCGCAGTGTGTGCCGTTGCTTCGTCCTGTTGGAACCACATGTCCTCCAGTCCTAATTCGGTCAATTGCGGCAGAAAAAACTCGGTAAACATGGCCCTATAGCGCGCATCGTCCACTGACCATCGTCGTTTGACCAGCGGCGACCTCGAAAAAAATGGCCCGATGACTCCTCCAGACCCAGACAGCACACGACGTCCCGAGGACGTACATATTACGGCCGATTCGAGTCCGTACGTCCCGGAACCTAATATGGACGTTCTCAGAACGTACCATCCCGTACTTCTTCGGGGCGTACATAGCGTACGTTCTCAGGACGTTTATTTTCAGTCTCGAAATTTTCTATATTCCTAATTTTTTTCAATGATAATAAAACATTACCACATGTGATCAAATAGAGTAGTAATAAGGCCCCTTTGGTGTCAGCTGCCGATCATCTTCCTATTCATTCATAGGTCACAATGAATCGAAAGCTCGATCAAAAGTGATTTTTTGTGAACAATGTGGGGAAGTCCAATCTTTAGGATGCCAATTTCGAAGGATATTAAGATGAATTTATATGCAAATTCTGCACATTCACTCTGATTCATAGCAAATTCCATTTGGTGGAGTGTGCTCTCAATGTACCTATATTTATGTTTTTTTAACTTGCATGTTTTGAACATAGGTAAGCCTCTAATTTCAACAAGGGTTTTGTGGAGTAATGGTTATAGCATCTGTCTAGGAATCTAAAGATCGTGGTTCCGATCCCCGGTAGAAAGGTTTTTTTTATATTGTATTCAAAATGAAATTCAGCTCTACTCTGTATATATTTCTTTTTCATCTATTTGAGTAGAGAAGGGCGAATCTACGTTGATTATGGTATTCCTGGCGATGAAATACCAAACTTGGGCCTAATATGGACGTCCCTGGGACGTTCCATCTTGTAACATCGGACGTCCCCAGTACGTCCTATGGACGTCTCTCGACGGACACTGGACGTCTTCAGAACGTCTTGTACCTCCCATATGTACGTCCTCTGGACATACACAGGACGTCTTCGTGTTATCTGGGGAGTAAACAGCGCACCATGCAGTCACTTTGAGCGGGTGTAATGGCTCCTCGTACATCACTCGTGGATTTTCAGTGCCCTAGAAGCGATAGTTCGGCTTGTTCACGTACCCGCTGAGGTGGAAATGAGCCTTGTCACTCATTATGATTTTGGTCGAAAAATCGTCCACGAGATTGAGGATGGCTTGGCTTGGATTATTCCGCTTTCTTGGGGAGTGTATCGCTCCATGGCTTGTTCACTTGTATTCTACATCTGTCTTGTTCACAAATGTCGAAACAGATCTGACATTGGCCGCCATTTGTGAAAATAAGAGCAACTTCCAATCGGGTGATTTCTTTTAGCCCACCGAGTAGAAAATGTTATGGTTACGAGAAGACCTTACGTACCGATTGTTGGCATTTTGAATACCAATATGTTGTTTATCAGATCCTAAAGTTGCATTATGACATCCATTTGTCAACCAATGGTTATAATATGAAATCTAGTATTTCCTCTGATTGCTGATAGGTATATTTTTTCCGAAGTTAGTTGGAACGCCTTCAACAAGGAATGTCCGCTGTGTGCTGCGAGTTTCTTATTTGTACTTTGAAGAGACGGCTGTATTTTTTGCTTATTTGTTTTAAATATTGCAATATCATTTCAACATTCTGGATAGTTAACAAAGAGTTATCATGAGACAAAATTATGAAATAGTATATCATGTAGTATGTGTTGCAAGAAGCATATTACGCACGAATGAAAAAGTTCCGCACGCAGCAGCGTAGCGGCGAGTGCGTTATTCCATGAGTTAAAGAATAAAATTCAAGCGAAACATAGGTTGAATAAACATATCAAACATATTGAATAAACGTATATGCTTCCTTATCTCAAAAACGGTACGTTTCTAGAAAGAATTGAAGGACGAAAAAGCCTCTAAATTGAACGATAAACACAATCTGATCACTGAAAGATGCCAGAGGCGTACTACATAAAAGTTTGGGGGGATAAAGAAGCCTTTACCCCAAAAAATCACCCTGTAGATTTTGAAAAATTTCAGATGACTCGAAACGATGAGCTTCTAGGAAGTATTGACCACACCAAATAATAAAGAAGCCTCTATCCCAAAAAATCGCCATGTAGATTTTGAAAATTTTCAGATGACTCGAAACGATGAGCTTTTAGGAAGTATTGACCACACCAAATTTCAAAATAATATCTTGAGAAGTTAGCGAGATATTTCAATTAATAGAAAAAAATATCACACTTTGACCCCTTGTAGCTCCGCTACTGAACGAGATCGGAAATGATGAGATCTATCTCCCATTTCAGTTTGTGCCTTGAAACTTGAGTCACCCTGTATAATGTGTGAATGTGCTGAATTTTCAAACGACTTCGCATATATATATGTACAGTATGATGCAAATGTATGGAATAAATTCATTATTTCAGAAATGGGCGACATTTGAAGAAATTCCAAAAACACGTGAGTTTTAATTTTTGAAACCTCATCTCATGACATTCATATGAGAGATGTTACGTCACTGGTGTTGGAGTAATGACGTAATGGACGGTTTTTTTAAATACAAACAGGGGTCATGCGACACCTCGTTTGAAAGGTCTACTGATCGTCTATCCAATAGTCAACATTTTGCAAAAGAAGATTGACATAAAAATGGATTATCATTTGGTTAACCGAATCTTGCAGAGATCTTCTACTGAGAATTGAACATCGAATGGTCGTCTAGTTGGAAAAATACATCAATAAAAAAGTTCTGAACTCTACTTTTTGGATTTTTTTCGAAAGTCGTCTTGTTTTTAAATGAATTTATTCCATACATTTGCATCATACTGTATATATATTTCATCTATTGTGATTGAGTGAAACAGCGGAAAGAATTACCCTAATCATAAGTAGGTGCAAGGAATCCATTGATGTTATGCCTGAATATTTTGAGTTCACGCTCATTGTGCATTTCCAACTCTCATGATTTCATGTTGAACACGTTTTTCTATCGATAGTACTTGTTCTAGGTATGAATATTTGCACCCTGATTTCTGCTACATATATTACGCAGCCCTGAATTACCGTGATGTCATGCTGGCCACAAGAAAAATACCATTAGACGTTATTCAAGAAAATGTAGCTGTTCAGAACTATAATTTGGGCGTTGAGTTTTCTGGGAGAGATACCAGTGGCAAGAAGGTGATGGGAATTGTGGACGGAAAGGCTCTGGCAACAATGGTTCTGGCGAATTCCGGCTTCTTATGGGAGGTGCCTGAGAAGTGGAGTCTCAAAGACGCAGCGACAATTCCTCTTGTTTATGCAACAGTAAGTATTGTTAATTTATCGCTAGAACACAGACTGATGATTTTTTGTCATAACCATCGATGTGACTTCGACACAGTATATACTGGAATATTTAATCGACAGTTGCAGACTAGATATCAAGTTCTGTATAGTGTTCATTGATGGAGTCGATGGCGATTCCAAAACAGAGTACAGTGGATGACCATTTCCATCCTCAGACAGGCAAAGAGACATATCATAAGGGCATGATCAAATCAATACCAAGATTTCTAAAGTCGTAATAGTGAAATATGTGATACTCAGGATTATTCATTGAATCTAGATATTATGCATTAGAAGGTGGTTTCAACCAAAAGTTTTTTTGCCACACTCATACTGATGAAACTGTAAGATTTTTTGCATCTCAAAAAACACAGACCTCTCCGCGAGTTCTCAGAGAGATTCACGATTGAGATTATGTGTATGTCTTGAGGAAGCAAAAATCACTATGTGCGTAACCAAGCGAATTCTTCTTGAAGTTTGTACCAGTAATCTTTCGAACTTCACCTTTTTGTTATTGACCTCATTTCCACTGTGAATTCCTGAAGTTATTACTTGAGTACCCTGAAGACTCGTCCTTTACTTTCTCAAAGAGTCCTTCTGTACGGCACTGAGATCGCCAGTCACCTTCCTGGACTACCCATCCAGGGCTAACACAGGGCCCAGGAGGCAATGGACGTAAAGACTCCACAAACAGAGGCACAGAGAACGCACAAGTGTCGAAAAGTTATGACTTTGTTGTAGAACAGGGCATCACAACCGGAACTTGCAGCAAATTCGGAGAGAGGCTCACCACAGGAGGAGAGAGCGCCTCCAGCAGTGTTCACTGAACCTAGGGGTTCTGCAGAGAGAACGGACATCGTGCCAGTTCGGGGGGACCTTCTCAATGAAACACTAGGTAGAAAACCGTGTAAAATTTTTTTGAGAAGAATGGCTTCATGAAAACATTTATATTATGATTTTTTACGTCTTGACTGTTTCTGGAGGTATTCCATTGTTTGATTGTTTTTCACTTTTGGCGCCTAACCTTTAACAGTGTTTTTTTCCATGTTCTGGTTCTCACGGATATCCTGTAATGTTCTGAGAACATCGTGAGAACCAAGAGAAACTAGGTGGGCATTGGTGTTCTCCTTGAATTTCTGGAGGTTATATGCCTCGGGAAACACCTCCCTTGGCAATGTGTTCCAGAGCCTCGCTGTTCGTTGGATGAACGAGTCTTTGGAAAGAGATATTCTGCACGTCTCCAAAGTGACCACGAGGGGGTACGAAGCCTCAACTCGACGGGCCAATCTCACGGGGACTGCCAAGGGAGGTACAATTGTTAATATTTTAGAAGAGCATCGTCCATGGAGATATCTATCGAATAGAGCCCGATCGCCAACTTTCCTACAGTGTTCCAGAGAAGTGAGTGAGTTTGTGAGCGAGGCATCACCCACGAGACGAATTGCTTTTTTTGGACAGAATCCAACAGTTTCAGGGTATCATTGGGTGCTGCACTCAAAATAAGGAAATGGTATTTCAGGACAGGTCGGATCTGTGCCTCATAGATCATAAGCAGCTGACTGGAAGTGAAATAGCTCCTGTTCCGAAACAGAAAACCAAGTTTTTGGGATGCACTTTTCGCAATTGATCTCACGTGCTTTTCCCAAGAAAGGTTATTACTGTTAGTGATACCAAGCATCAAAATGGATGTCTTCAAAGGTATGGTTGGTCCTGACATGCTCATTTCTGGAACAGTGAGATCGGCTCTTAGGGAAAAGGCATGCTTGTGTCTTGTTTGCATTAAAATCTACCGAGTTATTTGATCCCCATTCGAGAATTGTTGCCAAGTCCATATTGATGTGATCAACATTTCTCCCTCGTTCGTTTCTGATTTGCCTGGCTGGTATTGGAGCCCTGGGAGAGAAGGCGGTATGGAGGGTACTATCATCCGCGAAGCTGTGTACTGGACATGGAGTTGCTAGAAATAGTGTTGGTGGTAGAATTCATCCTCGTGGAACAGCAGCATTCATGGTGGAAAAGTTAGATGAAACTCCATCGACCACTACATGGAGAGACCTGTTTGAGAGAAAACTAGCTAACAGCGAACATGGCTGGGGAGGCGAGCCATAAGATGGAAGCTTGGCGAGGAGTCCGTGGTGCCAGACTCGATCGAAAGTTTTGGAGATATCAAGTGCCACGGCTAAGATTTCACCATATTTTTCAATAGATTGCCACCATATATGTGGGACGTGAGCGAGCAGGTCACCAGTTGATCTCTGATGACGGAAGCCATATAACCTATCGTTGATAATACCTGAATGTTCCAGGTATTTCATGAGCTCGATGTTGATTGTTTTCTCCATGATCTTTGAAATAATAGATAACAGTGCGATGGGTCTGTAGTTGCTAGGTAGGATCTTTTTGCCTTTTTCAGGAACTGGTTATACTCTTTCAATTTTCCAGTTGCACGTGAATATACCCAATTTAAAAGAGTAGTTGAACAACTTGCAGCACATCTTGTTGGATTTGCGGAAGAAAAACAAACTCTCTTCCATGGGAACGCTGAAAAAAACATACGAAGACCTTCCCAGTCGGCCGAATTATAATTCCACATGAGACGGGTAAGATTTGTGGTGCTGGATGCTACATGGAAAGAGCAGGTCGTGGAGATGAGGGTGTGGTCAGAATTTCCAAGTGGGGCACAAACTTCTATTCTATATAAATCAATATTGCTGCTGAGAAAAAGATCTAGTGTATTGGCAGAATGGTTGTTGACATCTGGAATGTGCGTTGGTAGTTCGACTAGTTGTTCTAGACCGTGAGTGATGGCGGAGGCTTCAGTTTGACGATCTGCATCATCTGTTTTGTTAAAGAATTTGAGCCAGGCTGTGTTGTGTACATTGAAGTCTCCCATGATTATGATTTCGGCTGATGGATGGTTCTCCTGAGTGAAGGCCAGTTTGAGTGATAAAAACTCGAAGAGGTTGTTATATTCATGATCATTAGGCGATAAGTAAAGGCAGCAGATGAATTTGGTCAGTTTGGTATCGACTAGCTTGAACCACATCACATCATAGTCTCTCGGTTCCAAACTCTCTACACGCTGGCATAAAAGGTTAGCCTAAGCGTAGAGGCAGACTCCACCTTTGAACCTGAATGATCAATAATCGTCACATACTTACCTCCTATGTTCTCTATCCTCCCATCCTATACAGGGTAACTCACGATCGATGGTACGTTAGACGATTATGGAGAATGCAACGCAGGATTTCTCTGAAAATTTCGCATCCTACATTTTATCACCTATTGTATCGATCTCGAATATTCTCGAGATTGCGACGTTGTCGTTTCTATAAAAAAGTCCTAGCAACTTCTTCTTTTTAAATGGAACACATATTAACATATTTTTAGAATTGCCTTCTTATCACAATACTCTTTTGTTGATTGATGCCTATACCTATCTCTATCGGTTTTCGAGATGAAAAATAATTTGTGTTAAATATGGTCCAAAACATATCCCTAATTGAACTTATGTAAATCAGGGCTCTCGAATCATTTAGAGTTGATATTCTTGTGGTGATTTGGACAAACTTGATGTATTCAATTCACACCGAGAAGTCATCTCCATATCATACAGGGTGTGCTGAAATTATTATCATATCCGTTGTTCATACAAGTGCTCAAAAGTTCATTTTCTCAAATAAAACCCACTGTTTTTCACCCAATAAATTGAGAGACGAATAAAAATGCTACAAGATGACATAGCATGTACCTATACCTAAATCATCAAGTTTTATTAATAAAGCCGCTTTTTGTGGAAAATATAATTTCATGAAAAGTTAATTTCAGATAGCCATGGAAATATCAAACTCATGACAGTTTGGTGACATTGATGAGTGATTCAGTAATTGTTATTGACAGTGTTTCAAAAAATCTCACAAAATGAACGCAAATATCGATTATCCAAACGAAGTTTTTATGAAGTTATTCATTATACACGGACAATGTGATCAAATCATTGCCAGAACTTGCAGATAATTCAACCAAATGTATCCTGAATTGACACCAATGAACAAGAGAAAGTTTGAAAGATAACGAAATAATTTCATCAACTATGACTCAAAATTTTCAACAATTCTATCAAAAATCAGCTTATCTAGCATATCTAGGTAAAAAGCTAGATTCACTGTGAAAGTACAGGAAATAACAGAATTAGGAGGAACGAAAGTAACGAAAGTATAAACAAAATATCACATTCCCACAATAAATGCTCGGAATGTTGTCCATTACATTCTAAACATTTTGAAATATGCTTTTGTACGCGACTCGTGGTTGCCTTTTGAATTTCATGAGGATCCAAATCTTCAATACATCGCACTATTCGCCGTCGCAGTTCTCCTTTGGTAGGCACTGGAGTACTGTACACCCTTTCTTTTGAAACGCTCGTACACTTTTTGCTTGGGAAGACTCGGATAGCAAATGTCTCGCAACAGGTTGTACGTTGTTGCACCCACCGAACTGCACAATGTTGCGACCTTCACTTCATCTTCCGTAATTTTATTCGCCGTGAAGTATTGTTCCAATCTTTCCTTCCATACTTGCCAATCTTCGGTTACCGCGAAAGCTTCGAGAGAGCCTATAATGGAAGCCATCTTGTGTCTTGTCGGCTTCTTCGCCGCGTCCTCATTTTGCACTTCAAAACGTTTACCTTCTTCCTCGTCGCCAAATGTTATGTTTGAGTTGTTCAATGATGTTTGGAATATAATTAAAACACCGTTTGATCTCACTACCTTTATTTCGAACACTATACATTGAATTTGGCCTGATCTCGTGGAAGTTACATCAATTAGGTAAGAATACATACATCTGTATCGAGATCAGGTACCAGACAAACTGAGTGGAAATGTGCTCGTCACATTTCTGTCATAAATCATCTCCTTGTGGAGATGGTAGTGGGGAGGGCGGCAGATTCAAATATTCACATATATCACAATATTTATCTCAATTGGTTTTCAATTCATTGACAAATATCTACTCTTGTATATTATATATTTTGTTGAGAGAAATCGAAATCTGTTGTCAACTTCCTCCCGAAACACACTGCGATTTCCACTATTCCAGTGTAATAACTGGATCTTCCTCTTCAGCAAGAGATGCATCTTTGGAGAACACAGCTGGATCGAGTTCCTGATTCTTGAGATCAAGGAGTGGCCTCTTGGACCAATGAAGTTTCTGATATTGAAGGTCCACTTTGGACGTAGTCCGATGAAAGAAGTAGTTGGGCAAGTACGGAGTAACTGGAATCAACTCGGAGAAAAGTGACAGATTTGCGAGGTTACTTCTACTCAGAACTTCCATGAGTACATGTGGAGAGTTCTTAGATTTTTATATAAGGAATTCAAGATCAAATCGTGAATTTGAATCTGGTGTTTTACTGTTCTCTTAAAATAGATCATTGATTTTTGTATTTCAACCAGAGATAAAATAGAAGGCGCTCATTTATTCCATCTCATCAGATCTATTTCATCCCATCTTAATGATCTCATCTCATTTCGAAGGAAGGTATCAGAATGGTTAACAAACTTTACTCACCCATGACCATTCAAAATTAGAGTGGCGCATGGGCAAAATAAAAATAATTCGTAGGAAGAAAGGAATGCTCGAAGTCATCCTCACAAATTTCAATGGTGAATGGTGAAAGTTCTACAATACGATTAATGAGTCTGAAGATGGTCTTATATAAGACCGAAAAATGTACCTTATGGTTGTGAAACAACACCGTTGTAATTCGTGGAGATGACTTCGGGCATTCCTTCATTCCTTCGAAAAATTTCACTCATACACTTTGAGCAATATTGTCCTCTACCAAAGATTGAAATAAAAATAAATTAGTACGATTTATAAATCTTATCAGTACAATATCTTTTAATGATACATGTTTCAGAGTTATTACGCCCTCATAGTCAGAGGTGGTCTGAAACCTGGTGAATCTGTACTAGTTCATGCTGGAACCAGTGGGGTGGGTCAAGCCTCCATAACCATTGCTCTCCAAATGGGTTGCACAGTCTTCACTACAGTTAGTAGCCAAGTAGAACGAGATTTTCTCAGAAAATCATTTTCCCAACTCAGAGACAAAAATATTGGTGACTCGAGAGATATCAGCTTTGAACAGATGGTCAAGATCCAAACTAATGGCCGAGGTGTTGATTGTGTTTTGAACTCTCTGGTTGCTCATCAGTTACAAGCGTCAGTCAGATGCTTGGCTGTTGGTGGAAGATTTTTAGAAATCGGAAGGGCAGATATGTTTGATGCTTATCCACTTCGTATAAGCATGTTATCGAAGAATATAACATTCCATGGTATTGACTTAAACTCATTATTATACTGCGATAGCACTGAAAAGCGACACGTCAAAACTTTGGTTACCGATGGTATAAAAAATGGAATTGTTCAACCACTTTGCACGACAATATTCAAAACACAGCAAGTCGAAGAAGCTTTCAGATTCATGACAACACAAAAATATATTGGTAAAGTATTGATCCAAATCAGGAATGAAGAGAACATACAAATTCAACGTCCTCCTCCGAGCATTGTTTGTGCCATTCCTCGTACCTACATGCATCCAAAGAAAAGTTACGTTTTGGTGGGTGGACTCGGAGGTTTCGGACTCGAATTAACTAACTGGCTGATCACTAGAGGAGCTACTAAGATAGTCCTATCATCCAGAACTGGCATCAGAACTGGTTACCAGTCCCTGTGCATAAGGAGGTGGAGAAAAATGGGAATAGAAGTACATATTTCTACAGCTGATATAACTGTCTCGGAAGGTGCCAAAATACTTTTGGAAGAAGCGATCAAATTGGGCCCTGTTGGAGGAATTTTCAACCTAGCAGTAGTTTTGAGAGATGCCTTAATGGAAAATCAGTCAGAAGCCAATTTTGAGATCGTTTGTAAGCCGAAAATTGATGGAACTAAATTGCTCGATGTTGCTTCGAGAATTCAAGCTCCGCAATTGGACTATTTCGTTACATTCTCGTCTATCGCTTGTAGTAGAGGTGAGTTGGATTCGTTTTGTATTATGTAGAAATAGATTTTCAATTTCGATTGAACAGTTTGAGTCAGGCCATATTTGAACAATCTTGATGAGAAAAAGCGTTTCACAATACATCAATAAATCTTTAAATTCCAAATACTCATGCGTATGAAGATATCTAGTAAACCGCAAAGGATATCATGCGAAGAAATGCAAGATTTCATGAAAATCGGAAATGGTTGGCTCATGGCCGTCACAAAGAAAAAGAGATTGTTCTGGAGAAAGAATCAGCATTGAATTCATGGAGTGATCTGATCAACGACAAGACGCTGACAAAGTTAAAAAATCTCCTAAAGTCGATGGAGGAGGTGAAATATTCATTTATCTACTCGCGAGTTGAATATATCTGCTTGGGATAATCAAATGGGCTGATTTAAATTTTCATTTCATAACAACTCGTCGAGAGTACATGCAATTTGGAGAAAGTTTTGTTCAAAAATTGTTTCATTCGTCAGTCGGTTCATCCCTAACGAGCAATCCTCAGATAGAGACTCGTGGGAGCATGAAATAATTGGGGCCTCACCTTTCAAAATGCGATCAAGTTTGCTGCAAGATTGCTACATTGAGGAAATAAAACGTGTATGTTGCAATAAAGATATACAGGGAATGCCGGAGAGGTACGATATTATGGAAATCATAAACCTTACAGCTTGGGGAAAAAAATTCATCAACAAAATTGACGATGAGAAATTGATTCGAAATATTGAAAAGGAATATTCTTGGATAAATTATGGACATACAAAAATGAATATATACTTATATGAAGGAATACATTGAGAATTATTCGCATTCTCTATGTGGTGAGAATATCTACTTTTTTTCAGTTTATCCAATAGAAAACAACTACTTTCCTGGCTATATGCCACGACGAACATTGAATTATATTTATTGAACACACACGATAAGAGTTGGGAAATAAAATATAAAAACTGATTATTTTTGGAAGTTTTCAAGGTCATCAAGGTCAGGGTTTATGCCAGTATACTTCTCCTATACATTTCAATTTTCATTTCAATGCTGAATATATTGGTAAGTTATATTTCTATATCATTATACATCATATTATTCATCCGATTTGAAGAAGAATGTCAATTCTCAATTTCGGAGGATTTTATTTTTTATTTTTCATGTTCTCCTTTTGAATGTTCATCAGATATAATTCAATGTTCGACGTGGCAATTAGACAGAAAAGTAGTTGTTTTCTGTTGAATATCCAGAATGATGTGTGCATATACATATTTTTGTCTGAAGGAGAATGCAAATTCTCAATTTCAGAAGTTTTTATATTTTATTTTCAAAGTCTTATCGTGTGTGTTCAATAGATATAATTCAATGGTCGTCGTGGCATATAGCCAGGAACGTAGTTGTTTTCTATTGAATAAACTAAAGAAGATTTGATATTCTCACCACATAGAGAATGCGAATTCTCAATGTCGTATTGCTTCATATAAATATAAATCCATTTTTGTATGTCAATAATTCATCTGAGAATATTCCTTTTCAATACTTCCATACCCAATCAGGGGGTTCAAACTTGAAAGATGGAAACTTGTGATTTTTATAGACCTCTAATCGCAGATTCGTGATAGAGTCTCAATTCAGAATTTCTCTCCACGCCTTGTATGATGAATGTCAATTTATCATTCAGCCAAAAGCCAAAAAAAAAAAAGATTCAAAATACTTTGATACAATGGGGAATTAGAATTATTGTTGTGTTAGTTGTTGTCTTCACTTCTTTCCGTATTTCAAATATTAATTGTGGGGGTAGCTTGTGAACAAAATAATTTCCAAATTATTGCTGTATCAATCGTAGAAATCATCCATACTCAAAGTGGTCCAATATATTTTCAATAAAAATGAATACCCGAAGTCAAACCGGACATTGCCATTGTCATGACTCGTGAAATTACTAATTTTCATCCCCATTGGGAGTCTTTCCAGTTGATACTGACCACGCTCTGTTGTGAAAGCCGTTTAGGGCCGACTAGAGGGCTCTAATTCAACCTGATAGTAGCCCTGCGAAAGATCGAGATGTGAAAAATATACCGCTCCGGAAAGTGAATATAACATTTCAGGTATACACGGTAAAGAAAATTTTTCGTCTTGTATCCGTCCATTTAGTAAATACGACGGCGTATTAGTGCCACAATAACCTATTAATAGGTAGATAATAGGTAGATATCAGAAGTGTGAAGTGCAAGATATAGGTGCACTATGTAAATTGAAACAACAAAGAAAACGAGAGCGGTCCTGTGCTGGTCCCTGGTCATGCTGTGACCTGTGACCTGGTAGCAACTACTTACACAGCATACCTTATCTGTACTTGGTATAATCTATTCAGAATGGAAGACGCATTAAATAAATCTTGCAATAAGCTAAAATGCAAGACAAATCTGTAGATAAATCTTGCAATTAGCTTAAATGCAAGATAAATCTGTCATTTAAGCTTTAATTGCGAAATAAATCTTTCAATTAGCTTAAATGCCAAATGAATCTTGCACTTATATTCAAACGACCAGAAGAAATTTTTTGTCATGCTCGTTCAGCTTCTTCGTGAAAGATTTGATCCTATGATCTGATCACGATTCGTATCATAGGATAAATTAGGAAAAGGAATGGTAAGAATGAAATGATAGTGAATATCAATACGTGTAATTGTGTGCCAATAAACTGAGAATAGAATAATAATACATATCAAAAAATCGTTTCACTATTCACATTGGGATATACTCAACTCAAGATCTGAACGGGAAATGTACTAATATTTATTCACTAAAAATCAAGCATTAAATATAACATGAGCTTAGTCATAGTACAACTACAAAAATTTCAACCTCATCAGCATAAAAAAAGATATGCCCCAATTATATTATATTTCTTATAACAGTCTGTTCAACCGTTTCAACTCTTCCCTCAATGCTAAGTATAATTCAACAGCTTCAAAAGGATCATCCTGTATACTATAACCCTTTTCTTCCATTATAATTCTGCATAAACCATGAATATCTTCATCGCAAGGACATTCTATATATTTACATTGTAATATTTCATGATAATTCAAACCAAGGAAGAAATATCTCTTTATTAGTTCATTGGTATTAGTGTTCTCCATTTAACACATAAATAGGTCTATTAGGTGAGGTCTGTGACAACTTTCGCAAAGCACAACCACTTTATAAGTGAATGCAAACATACACAATGTTGTTATCATATAGGTAACGAATTCGAGAAAAAAATTTTCAAAATTTTGAGAAAAAATCTCAAAATTTTGAGAAAAAAAGCTCAAAATTTCGAGACAAAATCTCAAAATTTCGAGAAAAAAATCTAAAAATTTTGAGTTTCTGATAAAGAAATTAAAAGGTTATTGTGGCGCTAATACGCCGTCGTAAGTAAACGATATAGTCGATTACTATTCTCCACTTTTTTGCTCCGCTTTGATCAGCTTTTTTGTGGATGATAAGAAGTGGTGGAGACCATTCGGATATCGCCATTTCAATGATTCCATCTTATCTATTTGTCAATGAATTTTCATTTTTCCTACGATCACCTATGAAAACAGCTCGAAACACATTGATTTGTTATTGAGAAAGTGACTCGTTTCACTATGACAACATATAACAGTTAGAAAGTTCGAAAGTAAAACTCACATGGGTGGAAATATTAGAAAATCGCACAGTAAAAGATCTATAGATTATGATGTACCAATGAATGATTATTATGCTGAATTATTCTCAGTTAAGTTATGGTCAAGTCAATGGGAAGTTAGTGTCGATTTAACATGAGTTATTGTCGTTAATGTTGACGTAATGTTGAGTTGATGAAAAAAGTTGAATTCAAGTTAATTTCAATTGAAAGTTGAAATAATGTCAATATATTGGCAATTTAGTGATCAATGTGAAGTTGATGTCAATTCGATATTGAGTTGATGTTATTTTGATTTAAAGGTAATGTCAAGGTAATTTTGAGTTGATGTTGATTTAATGTTTAGTTAATGTTGAATAATTATTGAGTTGATGTTGAGTTGATGTTTAGTCAATGTTAGGTTGATTTTGAGTCAATGTTGAGTTGATATTGAGTTAATGTTGAGTTATTTTCAAGTTAATGTTGAGAAACTGTTGAATTTATGTTAAGTTGACGTTGAGTAGATGTTTAGTTGATGTTAAATTATTGTTGAGTTGATGTTGAGATCATATTAAGTTAATGTTGAGTCAACGTTGAACTAATGATGTCATTTGAATATTGAAGTAGAATTAAATAATAATGAGAATGATATCACCTTTATGTGATCGGATATGATCAGAAACATGATCCCTACTCTGGTCTTATAAACACTCCTGACAAATAATATAAATATTTGTGGTCGTAGGAAAAAACAGTGTACAAAACTCGTTGGAAAGTGCATTTCCTGTGCTCGTTTTGTTTCCGCACTCGCCGCTCTGCGGCTCGTGCTAAACGTCCACTCGCGCGAAATATGTCACTTTCCACAATAGTTAAGTGATATACTATTTTGCACGTGTGGTAGACGGTACGGTTTGACATAAACTGGTGTCGCATCTTTTCGAAGGTGGATTTTCTGTTTTGGAACATTCGTTACTGACAAAGCATCACCTTCAAGATGAAACACGTCCGCGAATTTCGCAAATATTTTTTGTATGGAGTCGCTTTTATCTTTATTCAATGAATTGACGCTAATTAAATCGAATTATTCATCAACTCGATCAACTGATAAGCTGTTATCGTCATATTTGAAGATTTGGTTCTTAGAAGACTTTTGTATTGTTGGCCTATAATTCTTGAGTGTAACTCCCTCATCATTGACATTGAGACATCTGACAGGTACTTTATTATCCTCTGGTGTAGCTTCAACCCCCGCTACATACACTCCTTCCGATAATTCTTCCTCTAGAATGACACACTCATCTGTGCTGTCACCCAGCGAACATTCTGATATGGGGCATCAAT